AGAGAGAGAGAGAGAGAGAAGGATATGTGGAGTGTTTTGTAATCATTCTGGAATATCCATTTTCTATTTTAATTCTTTTTTCTGGCTAAGCGCTTGTGTGTTTACCCAGTATCTGCTTTCCTGAGCACTCGAATCTCATAAGCTTGAATCACTCTTTGGAGTGTCCAGGAAGTCCAACTTCAGTCTTGCTTTTTGTTGGGTCATCCACTGATGTATGTATCACAGCTACTTGAATTTAAGATTAAAATCTCTCCTAATGTTTTGTTCCTGGTTGATTTACAGAATTTAGCATTAAGTAAATTTTGCTCATGCATATTCTGATTGCACGTGTTTTGGTATTTCACCTCATATATTATAGTATCAGGTTAAATAAGGGTTTATTGAGAAAAACCATTGTACTGAGAGGGGGTAAAACCCCCAAAAAACAATTTTATGTATGTGTATATGAATAAAAAAGGTCATTTCAGGTCTGAGAAAGTGTTTAATGCCTTTCAGCAAAGCACGAACAGCAGCGGTTATTACTTGTGGTTATTTCTTTATGATATGACATGACTGGCAAGCATTTTCTCATATCTTTAGCTGATAATTCCTGTCATATTGTTAGGAAAGTTCATGCAAAGTTGTCTATTTCTCGTGTATGCTATCAAAATTCATCAGTAGTCCGTCTGATAAATGAGGCTCCAGGTGGGGCAAAGCATACCGACATGGCTACAGTCATTCCTATGACCCCTCTTTGCTTACAAAAGGCAGTTTGAAATAAGACCAATGATATAATGAGAACTTTAGCGAGAAACTTTAACATTCATATCTGGAGACAGGGCTGAGAACACATGATGTTACAAAACCAGACCTAGCTGCAGTTATCTAAGGGTGAGTGATCACACACAAAAGAATCAGTAGTTAGTCAGAGCAGATTAGGGTAGAAGATGCAATAGCAGATTTGCATCTTCTAATGTGCAAATCCACTGCAAGAAAAGATAGTCAAAGCTTCTAGCTCACATGCCTTTGATAACTGGTCCAACTTCTTGAGACAAAGAATTTCTCTTTTGTCACGTGAGAAACCAAACTGTGATGTCTGAAACTTGCCAAATAACTTGCATAAAATTAGAAGCTTTTTAAGGTAAATAATCTGATTTTTCTTTTTTAGTGATGTAAATAAACTTGGAACTATATTGATATCATGGCTAGAAGCAATTTATTCACCCAGAAAATATGGAAAAGTTTCACAATGTAAGTTACCCTTTATTAGTCCCACATTCACATCCTTCTTTATGTTGTGGTGTACCAATGATTCATAAAACAAACCAGTGAGGCAAATAACACCAAAACAGTGACGCTGTGTAGCCAAAAACCAGCTGCGGTTTGAGGGTAAATATGTTCTTATCAGATGGGGACATTATTTCCAAGAACACCTTTGCTTACAAATCTGGAAGTATTAATCATACAGTGCATAACTAAAAGCAAATGTCTTTCTTCTTTTTTTATGGTTCCATAGAAGAAGGCCCCTCCTCTGTGGAGCTAGCTCCCAGTTTGGATTTGGGAGACACTCACCCTCTGTACTTTTAACATTCGAGTTAAAAACTTCCCTTTTTTTAATTTTTATTTTTTTCAGCTTGTAGAAGAGCTGGATCAGGTGAGCTTGAACCCTCCGTTCGTTTCACTGCAATAGACTTAAGCTGCTGGGGACCTCTCACAATGCACTGAGAGTTTCTTCTTCACTCACCTTTTC